ATATATATATATATATATGTCTACATTGTCACCACAAATATGCACATTTTTGTTGCATTAAAACAACCTGTTAACACGCCAACCTCATTACTACAGCAGGCTGTTTGTTTCTTATAACAGCCATTTTTTAAAGTACACATATGCACAGAATTACAAAGCAAAACAAAAATGTTTTAGTATTAGATTTACCTCCTGCCCACGTCGATGATGGCACATGTGACCCAACTGTGTGAAGCCCAAAAGTTATGATTCCTCAGACTTTATATAAAAGACAATAGTTTCTGTGACATCACCCACTGGTTTCTGGACAGTGCATCACACTGCATCCATTAGTCACCATTTTGTCTTGGTTAAGAATCTGCCTTTGTCGACATACTTCAAAGCTGCCATGCTCCTTCCCCCCCCCAATCTTTACAAAACCCACATGTTCTCAAGGAGAAACTACTCCTACTACTGTGATGACTGCTACTAATATAGAATTTCTTACTTAATGTCAAGAAGGAAACCCAAAGTAGAAATGCTTTTCTCTAAAGGCCACTTGAGGCTAGCTTCGAAATGAAATAAAATCACATGTAGGCAGCTGTAAGTGCCAAATTTGAATAACATGGCCTGATGTGCCTGATTGTACTATCAGGCAACCAAAAACGTCTGTGGTCCGATTTTGGTGAGCAAAAGTTTGAGAAACAAAAACCAAAAGCATGCAGTCTGTTGCTTAACACGAATCTGAAGTCTAGTTAGTAACCAGGCTTGCAAACATCAGCTGGTAACTGTCATGTAATTAATATATCCTTAGTATCCTTATCTTCTTATTATATTGTTTTATGTACTTTAATAATGAAGATTTGTAGAGAAAAGGCCACTTTTGACTCAAACTAAGTGCTCAGCCAGACTGAAAACAGGATGTGTAGAGCTGTACAGCGTATTAATAAATGCAGAAGCCAGACAGAAAAGAGAAACTTTGCCATATAAGCAATGGTTGTATTGAAACTGTGACGTGTAAAGTACCAAAATAATACCTATATGAGACAAAGTTTATGATTCTAATGTTAATGATCCTGCAACTGGCGTTTTGGGCTGTGCAGGGGTCTCTCTCTCCAGGAAGATGATTTAATAAAAAGAAATATAAATGTTTTAACACTGAGTCGGTTTGCTCTGTTTTATCATGGGGACAAAAGAATCGCGGTTAATATTTGGTGTTTCCGCCCGGTTCGTTTGTGTCCCAATTTGAATTTCTTCTTAACACCAGGAGAGTTGACATTGAGACCAGATCAGCGGCTGCCGCTCAGAGATGAATTCTTCTCAGGCAGCGGCCCCAGTGTGGACATGGACTATGAGATGTTACGCTGCAAGTTTGATTTTCGGGAAAAGAGGTGCAAGCTGCTTCTTCATTGCATGTGTATTTTTATAGTCAGGTTTAATTCATGCATCCTTGCACTGAGCTGTGGATTCAAACTGTCTCACTTCTGATTCTTTCCAAAAATAATTTCACATGTAACAATTTGTGTTTGTGTGTTTTCTATTCATTCACGTAATTGTTAGTTCATGTATTTATCCTTCTCTGTGGTGGACAATCCTAAACCTCCATGAGTTCAGCCTCCATTTTCAATCCAATTATATCCTGTACTCTCTCACTCGAACTCGTCCGGGCTTGACCTCTCACTGGTCCCTGTCCCTCTTCTCACAGTGTCCTGTGTGGCCTTCAAATCTCCAGCAAACACAGGCCCAACTCAGCTGTTTCTTCTTCTCTGTTAACCTTTCAGTCTTTTCTTGTAGGTTAACTCCCAGCATGGCAAATATCACGTCCAGTGCCTTCAAACAGTCATGTCACTTGTCAAGTTTGTGATTCAAAGCTCCATCAGTGGTATTTATACATGCTGCTGCTTGACCCTTCAGTGTTATAGGTCAGTTGCACTGACTTTTGCCTGCTGTTAACTCTTCAAGTTCACGGTGCTCAAACCCCAAAAAGAAGCACAGAGAACCATTGTTCCAGAAAATGTGTTTAGGAGATTAAAAGCTCGTAAGACATAGGTTAAATGTGAACATAAAAGATATGCACTACCTGTTAAAGGGGGCGAAGAAACCAGGCCTAAAGTTTAAAGATGAAACGGGTTAACTCTATAGAGGATGTTACCGAAGGTTGACAAAATAATCTAGGACCTTTTACCAGAAAAGCTAATTGTATCTGTTTGGAGTTTACAGTGTACACTGAGGGACGTCAGGAGTGGTTTTAAACTGGGATTGAAAGAACAATACAGTATCCACATCTGAACTGATATTACCTGTATGTGCCAATATCAGCCCTTATATTTTCAATAACTAAGTTTAGGTTTCAAGTATCACCACATTTTGAGTATTTTTGTATTGACGTGCAACAGAAGGACTGGTTCTCCTGACTTTACTACTCCAATGAAGGTTGGACACAACAGGGGGTTATGTGCGTTGATTAGAAAACTAAAATCTCCCTATTTTGGATGAAATCAGATGCAAACCTTGAGACTGCAGCAGACTGCTGAATCACACAGGCTGAGAACCAAGACAGGACAGGAAGTTCCAAGTATCATTGGCTTACATTCTGAAAATGCAGAAGTAACAAGGCTTAAAAAGTTTGTCATGATCTTCTAGGTCAGGACGGTTTGTGTTAAAATTAGGATCAAATAAAATGGAGGGATTATAAATGATATACAATGCAAGAAATCTTATGTGGCCAAGTGAACACTTCCTTCACTCGGCCTCTTTCCACCATTTCTTCTTAAGGAAAAAGTGCTTTTATTTAAAAAAAAAAAAAAAAAGACAGAACAAAGGTTATCCCTGTGTAAATATAAAATCAAATAAAAACAAAGATAGGATAAAATAAAGTTTGTGGTTGTTTCCAGCTCACAGCAAAGGTCTTTGTGGTCTATCCCAGCAGTTGCACACGTCAGGAAAGTTGGTTTTAGGTCTAGAAAAACAGACTGATTTTTTTGAGTTGAGCTTTAACTTCTTTCAGCCAGCAAACGTTGGAAGAGGCAGGGGATCTCTAAATTAGATAAGCCTCACAGATGTGTCCACAGGTAATTCAGCTGTCTGAAAAAGCTTAACAACATTCATTCCAGCATTCCTGGATGTCTGACTCAAGGCAGTTGTGGTGACTGACAGAAAAAGTGCAGGAGCCTAATTTCTACCCAAAACAACAAATGTATGGTCTAAAAACTGGCTCAGATTTGGTTTGAGTGCCAGAGGACAGCCAGGTGTTTTGACGATCAGCCAGGTAGAGGTCAATTGAGTTTATGTGCCAGTCTGTCGTTGGTGCCTAGTTCTGTCTGCACGGATGTGGTCGTGTTGAGGTGTAGAGTGATCTTGCCTTCGTTGGCAAGGTGTTGGATGATCTGATTCTCAAAATCAGCGCTGTGGACGCCAGTCTTCTTGAAGGCTCCGGCAAACTGATTCTTCTCCCAGTAATGATGCCAGTTTCCTTGCTTGTCTGCACCATAACCAAACACTGACACCTGGACAGAAAGAAGGAAGCTATTTCATCAACCATGCATGACACACTGCTGACAGGTCATACTGATACTAAATACATCCCGCTTTTATACGCTTCATTTCATGTGTGACTTCTACCCTCACAGATAAATTTTTGTGTGAATGCTGTAAGGCCCGGGTTCGAATCCCGCTTATGGCAACATTATATCCAGTTAACAGTTCAACTTTTTTAACTCTTTTCAACACAAACTTCAGCTTCTTCACCCATTTTCACAACAAACTCCTGCTTCTTCACCTTTTTTCAGCACAATTCAGCTTCTTCTGCACAGTACTCATTTTTTCTCTCATCACATCTTTGTTTGGGACCGGAACTGGTTTGGCTCAGTGGGATGAGCAGCCGCCGTGAGACCCGGTAGCAAAGGTTCGAATCCTACCTGTGGCGGTTGCCGCACATCTTCTCCCGTTTGCGTGCACTCTGCTTTCTTGACATTCTTCAGTCTACCCTTTCAAATACAACAGTTCAGCTTCTACACCTCTTTTCAGCAGATAATTCTGCTTCTTCAGCTGCTTTTTAGCAGATTCCACTACACGGCATTCAAACTGCATTTTCGCAGGAAATGCAACTTTTTCTAGTCTTGGTTGTATTGCCATGACTTGCTAGTCTGGACATGCTACAATATTGTTTGGACTAGTCTGTTTTTGGTTAGTAACACCATATTTTGTGAATATACAAAAAAAAAAAAAAAAAAATGAAAGAACAAATGTGGTTTTTCTCTCTACAGCCAGTCTTTACTTTCCTCTTACCTGGTCACAGACATGCAGAGCAAAGACGATGGCCAGCATGCCGGTGGACGGGTAGCGACCATGATGCTCGTTCCAACGTTCATGAACATACTTAAAGAACACTGGGCTCACCACAACAACCTACACACACACACACGCACACACACACAGTTTGTTTAAAATGGATGTGTTTTACACAAGAGCAGGTTTGCATTGCCCACAGTTCCAAAATAAGCCCCGTGTACTTACAAAAAGACTCTTGTTGCAACCCCTGAGTTTATCAGGGTAGATATGACAGAAAATAAGGAAATGTATAACAGGTCACGTTTGAACATCAAATGTAGTGGGGCATCTGTGTCCAGATCAGACCAGAAGTGTGGATTTCATTATGTGTGCTTCACTCTCACTCGTCTTAAAAAATAAAAATACTACAAAGATTTATTTGCTCATCTTTGTTCCCTTTGTTCCCAAATGCAATTTTAAAAATCTTGTAAATACCGGTAGATAAAACTAAGAACTAAAAATAGGAGCAGCAGCAAAAAAAAAAAAGAAAAAAAAAAAAGGGTGAAGCTGAAAGTAAAAATAGCAACAGAAAGCGCTGTAGAGAAAACTGAGATCAGTCGAGATTATAATTTACCTTGTCTTTATCAGCGTGCACTCTTGCTTTCACCCTCATGTAGGTCCTGAAAAAAAGACACACACAAACACTTACATACAGGTCATATATGTTTACAGTGTGTCATGTTTCTTTGCAACTCTTACTTTTCTCTCTCTCTCTTATATATAAGAGATATATATCCCGGGATCCCTCATAGGGGGGGGGGTTCGTTTTAGAGTGGCCTTATCACTTTAGGCGCTATGTCGGCTGCGTTTTGTTTACAGCACTTTATGCCCCATCTATTGAGCTTTTAAATAGCTGTCACAAAAATGATTTGCTGCAAATTGTGGATCACTTTCAGATGCAGGTCTCAAAAAATCTCCGTAAGATGTGATTTGAAAGCTTTAATAGTGGACAAGTTGGTGGAAGCTGGTGTGATTCAAGCGCCTGTTTTGCCTGTGGTCTCTGGTGTGCCAAGCCAAGCTGCCGTAGTTGAGGAGGGCCATAAGAATGGTTCTTGTGGGGATGGCGAGGGGGATGAGCGGGGAAAAACGCCACGCACGCTTCCTCGCTATGATCCATTCTCCTCTGGGAGTTCAGATGGCAGAGAAGGAGCTCGGCTGAAGGTGCGGCTGGCACGTCTCAAATTGGAGGCTGAGGAGAAGGCCCAGAACAGGCGGCCTCAGCTAGAGCTTGAAATAAGAAGGCTGGAGATAGAGGCAGACAAAGCCATTAGGCCGCGAAAGCTTGAGCTGGAGTCTCAGCCTCAAGCCTCATCTGTCTCTGCTGAAAATTCCGGCTCCACCTCCTCGTCCGCTTCTGCTTTTGATATCAGCAAGTGCATTTCTTTAGTGCCCACTTTTAGAGAAACTGAGGTTGATACATACTTTGCAGCATTTGAGAGTATCGCTGGTGCATTGCAGTGGCCTAGTGATATTTGGCCTCTTTTGTTGCAGTGCAAACTGTCCGGCAAAGCCCAAGACGTGGTGGCTGCGCTTTCTTTAAAGGACAGTTTAGACTACGCGTGTGTTAAAACAGCTGTTTTGCAGGCATATGAGTTAGTCCCTGAAGCCTATAGGCAGAGGTTTCGCCAAAGAAAATGCCGACCCAAACTTATGTGGAGTTTTCTAGAGAAAAGGGGGATTCTCTTTGATAAGTGGTGCGTTACTTCAAAAGTAGGTGACTATGACGCTCTGCGTGAGTAACTATTGTTGGAGGAGTTTAAGAAATATTTTCCTGAGCGTATTGTGCTATATTTAAATGTACAGAAAGCGACTTCTCTCGCATCTGCTGCTTCTTGCTGATGAGTTTGTGCTCACTCATAAAGCCTCGTTTACTGGCAGTGAAAGGCCACGGGTTAGCGCTGTGCAACAGCCCCACACGGCTAAAGTGTCTGGGTCCAGGGAAAACCGCGAATGTTTTTACTGTCATAAAACTGGACATGTGATTGCTGACTGTTTAGCCTTAAAACGCAAAACATCAAATGCTCAGCAACCCAAAGGGGTGGGTTTTGTGAAAGCTGAGGCCTGTAATGAGGTGCCGGACCCCTGTTTCGAACCATTCATTTTTGATGGCTCAGTATCGCTAACCGACAATCCCTCTGATTTAAAACCTGTGCGTGTTTTAGGGACACTGGAGGTTCTCAGACTGTCATCCTCTCGAGTGTTTTACCTTTTTCTGCTGAAAGTGAATGTGGTTTTAATTCTGTTCTACGGGGGACTTGTTGATTTGAATAGACTGTGCAGACTGTCCCTCCTGCCTTTGCACCTTTGTTTTGAGTAGGTTTTTATCTAACCCTCTGGGCTCATATTTATATATAGCCAAACAGCCCCCTAGTTCTTGTTCTCTTGAAATTCTTTGTAGTCTATCACTCTTTTAACTCTCTCTCCCCATCAACCCTCTGTTTACTCTGCTCCACCACCACAACCATCTAGACCAGCGGTCTCCAACCCCCGGGCCGGTACCGGAGTGTGAGTTGTTTGGTACCGGGCCACGAGAGTTGAGGCTCAGGTTTGAAATTGATGGTTTTCAGGGTTTTTATTGTTAACTCTGTTTCCCTGGGTATTTTTCCCATGTTGTAGTTGTGTGTCTTATTTTGAAAGAAATATTTATGCGTTACCATAGCAACCAGAGAGCATTAAGGGGCAGAGAGGAGGATGTTACTCTCAATGTTGTTGGCGCATTTCAGAAGGACGCTGCTAATAAAGTTACACAATTACACAGTGAATTTGCATTTATTATTATATTTACCAAATGCCACCGTTTTTTCTTGGTCATTTTATTTTGTTGTATATATCAGCGACACTTTAAAGGCCGGTCTGTGAAAATACTGACATTAAATCTGTGGCGCAAAAAAAAGTTGGGGACTGCTGGTCTAGACTCCAGGAGTTTAATTTTAGATTTTTTTTAAAATAAACTTTTCCCTCTTACATCAAATAATCTCTCCTGTCTGATATGTTTTTTGATGTCTTTTTGATGGATGCATGAGATAATGAGCATACTTGTTTTTTTATATATATCGTACATTTTGACTGTTCCGGTGGACAGCGCGCTGGTCAGCCACTCCAGGTCTCTCAGTTTGAATGGCAGCAGGATGAGGCTGGTACCATTACTGATGTCCACTGCACTCTCTGGGTACAGGAAGTGATGCGTCGTCCGACGACCGACATCTTCCTCAAACCCTTTAGTCACCGCCTTGTTCATCCTGAAGGAAAAAAACATAAGGAGGGTGAGGGCTGTGTGCGCGCGATTGTGTGTGTGTGTGTGTGTGTGCGTGTGTGCGTGTGTGTGCGTGTATGTACCGGAACACGAAGCCATGAGAATCAATGAGTGCACCGTGTCCAGAATGCCGTAAGTTGCCAGAGTTGCCAACCACTGCACAACTACGGCAACGTGAGGGCACGGGCTCCAAGTCTATAGAGGGTGGGGATATGACCTGGAACAGCTTTGAGATCACTTCCTCCAAGGACTGATCGTTACCGGCCCGTTGAAGACTCTGTGGAAGAGCAGACAAACAATTTTTTTTCTGTTTAACACACTTATACTCAAGTAAAACATTTGCATAATGAGTCACGTTAAAAATCCTTAAACTTCCAGTGTCAAAAGGCTTGTTATTGGTGCTTATCTCTGTTTTTCATGACAGTAAAATAATTTTTAGTTAAATAATTTCTTAATTTTAAAAAAGAAGCAGGCGAAAG